TCTTTCACAAAAAAAGTTTACCAAACACTTTATTTCACAGCCGCTTATTCTCACAGCACAGCCGCTTATTCTCACAGTAGTTTTTTTTTTTTCATAGCACAGCAATACCAAACCAGCGGCAAGAAGGAAAATGAGAAAGCAATTCACTCGCATATCACGTAACATAAGTTGAGAAAGCAATTCACTCGCATATCATGTATATATAGCAACATAAGTAGTTCTTGTGGTACTGGGTAGGAGGCCAAAACATCTACAAACGACCATCCTTCCTTTTAACAAACTAACAAACAAAAAACACAATTTGAACATTCCATGATTCACATTCAAGTAAGATACTCTATGTACACCAGCAGCGTAGCCACGTAATGGACAAGAACATCAGATACCAACTCAAATATTTGAAAAATATACTCAGTTCTCTTCTGTTTGAGAAGCGCTTCCGGTTCCATTTGCTGCTGCTGACGATGAATTTCCCCCACTGCCACCTGACTGAGATCCTGAGTGAGAAAACAGACTACTGAAAGGCCACGGAATTGAAAACCTTCTCCCGTTACCGTTTCTCCCATCCCCATCCCCATCCCCATCCCCATCTCCCTCTTCCCCACCACCACCACCACCAACATCGCCAATCTCTTCACTCTCCCTCGAGTTACTGCTATTCCTGGAAATATCTGAATCACGCTTTGATTCATGTGCAGGCAACTGGAACCTGCAAACCGGACAGGAACTATGAAGCTCCAACCATGGCAGAATACACCCGCTATGAAACTTATGCTTACATGGCATCTCTTTAGCTTCTACACCAACCTCAAAATCATCCAAGCACACTGAACACTGCATATTCTCCTTGATTGTCACAGCGGGCAGCGCTTCCACTGCCTCCTTTTGTGCTGGCGGAGTCCCATACCTATTAGGATCATTCTCTGCCAAATGTTCCAGCAACAAATCCAAACCAGGCCCAACAAAAAAATCGCCTAATGAACTGATAGGGGTGTGATTGTTGATTTGACCCTGATTCGAATCATAAGATCCCTGAACAATGATGGTTTGATTGAAAGGATTGATAAGAATTACACGCTCCCTCTCCCGTTCTCTTTCTCTCCCTCGATCCCTATCCCTATCACCCTCAGAATTCTCAGATTCAGATGCCAAGCCAGCTCGAATGCCTTGAAGCAGCTGTAGAATAGAAGCTGAGCTTCTCCTCCTCCTTCGGATGATTGATTCAAGTTCTCTGTCCAATTCCGTGTCTCCACCCTGGCGAGTCTCACCATCATCATTGTCATTGTCATCATCATCATCTTCATCAAAGTCTAGTCGTCTTAATCTATCTTCATCAAAGTCTAGTCGTCTTAATCTTCTACGACGACGGGGATTGTTCATCATGCCAAGCAAGATCGGAGCCCAGAGGGAGAGTGCTCGATCGGATCCAAAATCAGAGTCAGCGTCTTGATTATCCCTCATAGTGCCATTCATTTCCTCAATAAATCCGCTTTGGCATAAGGGGCATTTCATTTCTACTTCCATGATGGGATTTACTATTTCAGAACACCTGTGGCACCAATACCTTGCGGCAATTGCGTCCTCCATCTCTCCTTCTTTATTTATTTCTTCAGTCACTGTCACAATACCATATCAAAATCAATTACCAAAAAGATCAAGATTTTAGCCTGACTTCAGATCTAAGCCATCAGAACAATATTGCCCTTCAACCCCCCCAACACACACATAATTTAATTTTCAGGAATAATTCTACAACAAAATTCAGAATTTGACAGGTCCACGAAGCAGAAAATATGCAGAGCACCTCCGATGAACCACACAAAAGAATTCTTCTTCTTCTTCTTTTCAGGAAAAGGAGGGGTAAAAATAAAAACAGAAAAAGAAAAAAAAAAAGGAGACGGAGACGGAGACGGAGGAGAATTGAACTTTGATTCTTAGCAAAAGTCAACAAAATCGGAGGGGAGAAGACGAGCGAGGAACAAGAGCAAGAGCAAAAGCGCAGAGCTTGAGAAGTCAAATCGCTTTCCGGAATGGAACAAGCAGATGGGGGGTTTTATTGTAAAATTCAGGTAAGCAGAGAAGGAAGAGAATGATCTGGAAGCATCGTGTGTGTCCGTTTATAAATATTTCAAGACCCAGCTATATATCTAGTATTTACCAACAAGAATTAATATTATAATTAATAATAATAATCAAAATTCAAGGAGAAGAAGAAGATGATGATATTTGACACGCAAACTGAACGTAAATAATTTGCCAATTACTTACCCCCCCCCTCCTCCTCCTCCTCCTCCTATCTGTTACCGCAGCAGCAGCGGGAGGTCAAATTATTATTTTTTTTTTTTTTGACGAAATAAATATATGAATGATAATTCAGAAAGAAAGATAGAAATCGAAGAATTGTACCCAAATGCTCAGCAAACAGAATTTTACGAATTCCTTGTTCGTCTCCTTCCTCCTTCGTTTTGGAGCTGCAAAAAAGAGAAAACTGAGGGAAAGAAGAAGATTCCACCAACCCTTCCCCTCTCTCTGTCCCTCTCCTTCTCTCTCTCCCCCTCCCCCCTTTGTCTATCCCATTCCCTTTCCAAGTTTCCAACTTGCTAATTTCTTTCCATTATTTTTATTTTACTCCTTTATTTTAAAAAAAATTGCAATATAAATGACTGGTCCACCGTTCGTTTATTTTCTTTCTTTTTCTTTGTTTTTGTTTGTTTGTTCCCATGAATTGGAATTGGATATATGTGATTTAAAATAAAAATAAAATATTCCTTAAACGCGTTGTGTGTGTTGGTGGCAGTCTGTCATTCATTGTTTTAGAAGACTCCCAGTCCCAAAAATCCCAATTCAATCCGAAGCCAATCGTTTGATTTCTCTTCGTTTCTTATTTTATTTTTCTTTTCCTATATTAAGAACCCTTCATATCCAATTTTAGTCTACCAAAATTAAATAACAGTGCTTTTCTTTTTGCTGGAAAAAGAAGTTGATTATTGTATGTGAATATATGCAGCAAATATAGTTTTTGACACGAAACAAAAATGAGCTAATTTTGCATTTGCGTTTAGATTGAAATTGGCAACAAAGAGAAATAGCCATTAAATTATACTCACACGGGAGCTTTGATTTTTAAATTAAGAATATGAGACATTTGGTGTCCTAATTAGATTTAATGTGAAGCGTCAATTATTTTAACCAATTTTCATCAGTATTTTTTACTAACATGTACACCTGGTAAGCATTCGATTATCTTATAATATAAAATTGTGTTGTGTAATATATGACGGAGTTGAATCTTAGTGTTTGGAGTCTAAAAATCAAGGTTTTTTTTATTAGCACCTCACATAATGTTGAATGCACCACACATTAAAATTTAATATTAAGTGGCTTATGTAACCTACTATGCAATGACAATTTCGACTTTATGAGGTTTAAAGAAAATAAGAAATTTCTAAATACACCCCAAATTACTTTTAATGTATTATTTATCTTTTTCAACTATTAAAACGCCTCTCACCCTCCACTCCATGTCTAACTATTGAAACTATAAACACGTTGATTGAGAAAAAATTTAACGAATGAAACACAATATCAATATTTTGGAAACTTCACATAACGTAAAATTTCGTATTTGTTATTATTTTAATTATTCAACGACATTGGTGATTATTTAAGTTTGCTTTTGCTTTCCATACTACCCAATTTCATAGGAGGCCAACCCAGCAAAGCCTTTTCCATTCTTATTCATCTTATAGGCTTTACTTGTGCTCTGTTAGATTCCTCCCAGTTGCTATTTTTTAGCAGAAATCCTCTTTTTTGTTAGCAAAAGGCTTAAGAGACAGAGAAAAGGAGATTGGATGTGATGACCCAATGAAATTCAAGCTCAACAGACCAGATTGTGGACTTCTCTTTTTAGAGAATGTTAGGGTTTTAATCCTAAGTCAATTTAATTTATAAAAAATGAAAATGAGTATTATAAGATTTAAAGAATGTTGGGTGTATAGAAAATGTGGGGTGTATGTGGAAAATATTAGATGTATGAGAATGTGGGGTGTAAGGGTATTATGAGAAAGTATGTGGGGTGTATTAAGATAAATTTTAATTGAAAAAACAAATGTGGGGTGTATTAAGTATATGGGGTTTAATCAACAATATGTGAGGTGTTAATAGAATAAGCCAAAATCAATCCATCTAAGCCTCTAATTGGTGTGTAAAAGAATCAAAGTGATTGGTTTATACGTGGTAGGCTAAGAAAATGAGTTAATGAAGACCATTGAATTTAATTTGTACAATCCAGATTAGTTGATCTTTAGGTTCCACGCATTAACGTCCAGAGCAAATCCAATTCTATATATTACCACCATGCATCTCAAATGAAATTAACCCATACTCTCCATTATATCAAATCTGTACATACTTTTAATTCATTGATCCAATTTGGTCATATAAAATTAAAGGAAAACTAATGAAAAATGCTTGAAAACTTTGCGTTTTAACAATAATGACAAAATAAATGGTAAAGTGAATAGTACTAAGATTAACTTTTTAGTGTAAAAATATGATTTTTCGTTAAAATTCCCTATAATTGAATTGAATAGAACAGATTATTATGGGAAGGTAGACAAATGACAATCCATTCAAATGGCCGACACGTCTTCTCATAAACAATTGAAGCTTATGCCTCATGGGCCATGAGTCATGGCCCCCTCCCCTGCCCGCTGCCCCTTTGACGTCTCATTCCTATTTCGTTACTTTCCACTCTCTCTCGTGTCAAGAAGCAAAAGCACATATCGTGAGTGAATCTTTTAGCATGGTGCTGAGCTTTACTGAGGGAAGGAAACTAACACGTAGCAACAAATCTGAACACGTAACGAAATTAGTTAGTTAAGACAGTGTGTCTCTCATAAATCCAAAGTTAGCCATTAGAAAAAAGGAATCTAGTAATGTCCTGCTGAGTGCTGGCCGGTGTGCCAGCCTTCGATTTGTCCCAAACTAACAAAACAATGTAAATGAAGGAGAATGCTCACTCGCCCTTCCAACCCACTATTTAATATATCATATATTCCTCCCATATCCATGATTCGAAAAGCATCAATTATATTATTACACCAACAAAAAAAAAAGGAGGGGGCGATGGAAATTCGAAACCACCTTTTTCCTAAGCAAGAAGAACGAACAAGTCCACCAATACACTACTCCCTTCCATCCGCGAACTATCCAAAAATTTTGTGTCATAAATTTTCTACATGCGTACGTACTTGGGGACAAATAAACCTCTTGCAATTATGTAGCGAATGACATTGTAAGGGGGTGTAAAATCCAACAGAAAACAAAGCTCCATTGATAGGGTGAACAAATGCTATTAGGGGAACAAGAGGCAATTGCCTTCTCATGGTTCCCTATTGTCAACTTAACTAACACCCACATGTCCGATTGCTGCGTTGTTAAGCCAACACGCTAACACGATTCCATATCCGACAATGTTCATACGCATGTACCACTGAACTTGGATCTTGATCCAAAGCTTTTGGCATACCAAACCAAACCACATGGACCATGTGCTTCTCCTTTTAACACTTTCATCTGATCAACATCTTCCCATCCTCATCCGGGCAAAATGAAAATGCAATTATATGTGATCCGACTGTACAAGGCCCACTCCCGAACACAATCTCGCCGCAGCGACTACACCATTTGAAAGATCCTCTAGACAACTAGCTAGGGGAGTTGATCCGTAAAGAAGACAGAGATGGCACACTCAAAATTAAACTGAACTAGGCTGGCTTGCTGCCTTCTCCTCCTGCGAGGTTTCAAATCGAGTTAGAAGCAGCAAAAATGACATTTCATCTGGATGAAATAATAATCATAACAGATTTTTATAATTAAAACAAATCCTATTAACCAAAAGCGGGTAACAGTCACAGCCCCGATATGGACAGTCTAATATATTCTTCTACCATGCACAGAGCTATCTGACGACAATCTGCCCTGTACATGACTAATAGTTAAATGGCATATGTAGCAAAACGTGGTGGCTAAAAGAATGCATGAGCCACGAAAATTTTGGAATGTCTTGTTGAAAAGGAATTAGAAAGCAGCAGAGGAGCATAACTACTAATGAGGTAATAAAAAGGCCTTTGTCAGCTGGGTGACTAGTATCATTTTACACAAGATATATGGTGCTTGTACATGATACGAGTACGGGTACTGTTATATAACAACCACAAACCATCATACAATCAAATTTTGTGTAGAGAGGTGCACAAATGAATTATCCAAATTTCCAATTGAGAAATCTGTCTGTCAAAACCAAGAAAACAACCTCAAAACGCCACCCAACCAAATACTCAACGTAGATAAACATGTGAATCGAATATTTGGCCAGTTGGTGTTGCTGGGAGATAACAGAAGGGTGTGAAAGAAACCATGAGATCTTCTATATCAAATAAACTAACCAAATGGTATAATAGTGGGGATCACACCAGCGTCACCAGACATGCTACCAAATTTCATATAACTGGTCAGAAACATATTCATGGATACTTACATCTACGAACTGAAACGATCTGACTACGGATGGTTTTGTCTTAGAAGCTTCGACAGCAGAAGTAGATCCGTTGCCACTGCAATATTTTCCCTAGAGACAAATAACAGAGGTTTCAATTTAGTAACGGATGACGAACGTTCGTTGCTGCCTTCTAACAGAAAAGAACAGTATTATGAATATCTAAGGAAACAGAACATATCAGCAGTTCCAACTTTCAAATACCAACATAAATCTCAGTAGTTCACATCATAGCAAAATGTAACACTCCAAACTAGGTGTTGCAAAAGTACACCATATATTCCTTTCATTCTTTCCCCAGGTTGATTACTGTAAAAACCATCACGCACAGAACCATAACAAGATGCAAAATGAAAACATTAGCATTCTTTTTTCTTTTTATTATCATGCGACTTCATAGACACCTAAGCCGAAGACACCTTAACATACTCATTCCTTCGAGTTAACCCTCAATGAAGTTAATAGAAAAATTAAATCCTTTACTTCTTTCCCAATTACCTTTCCATATTATGATTTCTGAATCTACCTAAAGGCTTTACTGCCAAAGAGTTCTTGGAACACACCATAAATGTTGTTCCTTTAACTTTACATACGGGTTTTCTTTCTTGTCTTCTTCCATGTACATATTTGTACAATCTCGCATTAGGTGGTTTTTGACAACCTCCTTCCTTTTAGATTATTATGACCATTATTGTTTATTTTGTTATAATTATATGTAGACGAGAATCAAGCTGGAATAAGAAGTGATAGTAATGATGCCCCACCCCCAACAAAACAAATAAACAAATAAAAATCAGAAGTGGAGGAAAACATTCTCACATCCCAAACAAGGATCTGAATAGAAGCCTTCTTACATCGTGAAATGCATCAGTGTATTTCTAATCAATATGTCCTATGCTTAAATCATGATGCACAAAGCAAAGTCAACAAACATTAGACTACAACAAAACTTGTGTTAAGAACATATTCATTCATTGGATGGATAGACACAAAAGTATTTGCAGAGTTTGTCTTTGATTTCTTGAATCTTTCACTATTCTATGAGCAAGTCTACATTTTTGTGATTGCATGCGAACTCAGATCAAAGTGGAGGACAGATCAAATTGCATAGAACCCCTCTTCTTCAATTGCCACACAAACAGTCACAAAAGACCCTTCTTGTGGACACCACAGTGACTCAATTATCGAAGCCAATTTAGGCAAGGGTTTATGGGGTAGCACGGCGAGATCATCAACTCTTAACTCTTGCCAAGCATCCAACCATTATCCAATTCCAAGAAAAATCCGGCATGATTCTTTTGATGCACAGGACCTCTACTTATTTAAAGAAAATGTTTTGGGCCACCAGTGGCATTAATTCCCCTGGAAAATCGAAGACCAACATGCATGGTTGTCTAGAATCCAGACCCACTTACAGCAATTGATATCAAACCTTTCAGCCCCCTCTGCCAGAATGCAAATGTTAACAGAGCAGAAAACTTTCCCACAGTGAACATACGTCCAGAACAGACACATTACATCTCTTTTCAAGGAAGGCCAATTAGAATTTCATTCCTTAACAAGTGGGAAGCAAAATTTACAAATCACGAATATCAAGGAGAGCACTGTTCATGGTATGCAATCCTCATGTCCCCTTATGAATATTCTTGCCTCCAGGTGGACTTTGATGGTCATCTATATCTCACAGACCAAGGTACGTGTATGATACATTGCAACCCTTGAAATCTTAGTGCTCCAGCTACCTTCTCCATCACACCATTTTGAAGCTATACTAGACTTGATTGTTATAGTTTTCTTGGAAGAGTGAGACTCGTTAATCTTCAAAAAGAACTTTACTGTTGTCTTATAGATAGATATTCATAGAATCTTTCCATTAGTAAATTCTGACAACCACAAGTGGGACTATGTCTACATCCTTCATTATACCTATTCACTCGTGTCCCTACCTTAATCTTATTGTGAATCCCAAATATTAGGGTTTTAAAACTGTACTTCTCACCAAAGAGATAAAGAGAGAATAATTGTACGTCACTAGCCTCACTATATTTTATCCTACAATTGTATACTCCAACTTCTTGGTTCTTATATGAAAACAAAAAATTATGGAATCCTCACTTTTCCTATCTGCTGAGGTTAACATCCATGAAGATCGGTGGTGGAAAACTTCGGTTAGGTTTGCAATGATACTGACTGCTAAACAAAGTTTCCACCAATTCTAAAGTAAACTAAAATGAGGTTTTAGGTGAACATATACACGGGATGTGGTAACAACATGTGTTTCTTTGAATGAGCCACCTTTAAGGAAACATGGATTATATGAGATTTTAAACAGATATAGTGGGTGAAACCATACAGTTTGTAAATAGAAATACAAAAGAAGATGAAGATGCTCCATAGTAAGTTTGTTAAACTACAGATGCTAATAAAGTGAGGTGATGGCATATTCCAATTGTAGGTGCAAGAGAAGAACAATGAGAAATGAAAATTTGAGTAGGCATGTAATGAGAGAGAGAGAGAGGACTGACCTGACCATCTTCAAAGAGTGAGGAGTAATACGCAGGATCATAGATAGCGCCTCCTATAGCATCACTAGAATCTGAAGTTTGTCTGGGTACAACGGGAGTACTGGGACTCAAGAAACTATTTCTTAAATCAAAATCAGCTTCTCTAGGAGTTGCACTAGTGTCTACATAAGAAAGGCCCAACCTGTAGATCTGAATCCATAACAAGGAAGAGGATAACCTGATGGAAAAGCTGATAATTTGCATGGCCAGAGTGAGCTTTACGGAGAAGATGTACAAAGTTGTATTACTCCCGCGAGAAAGGTTCCTGCGCAACACCAAGTTACAAACACAAAAGCACCAGAATCAAGCATAAATATGTACATATACATACGTCAAAATGCAAAAGGGAAAATGTTGGAGGAAGTGTGAATTACCAGATTTCGTGGGTGAAGAGAATGAACCAGAAAACATCGAGGAAGATGGCGCAGACGAGAAGGACGGCATATGTGCGGCCGAGGCTCTGACTGCTGCTCTCGATTGCGACTAGGGCGAACAATGCAATGGCCAGATTTATCAGCAAAACCCCATTGTAGAGTGCACCCAGCGATCCCACCAATGCGCACCCAATCTATACATACATACAGACATGCATCAAGGGATCGATCTTTAATATTGTTATATGAATCAATCATTCATTCGTATTGATTTGGTTTTGTAATTGAAAGGAAGACGAAGTGAAAGGAAAGGAGAGGAACCTGAATGTAGAGGAGAATGACGGCCAATGACTGAAGCCTGTCGTAATCACGAAGCCATGGCTGTATTCGATCACGCAATGATTCACAAAGCATCATAAACACCTCCTACCTCCTATCCTCTGCCCCGGCCCCACCCTACGCCTCTCTCTCTCTCTCTCTCTCTCTCTCTCTCTCTCTCTCTCTCTCTCGCTAATCTTCTTCCTCCTCCTTTCTTTCTTTCACTGGTTATGCTTCTTCTGGTTATGATTCACAAAGGCTGCCGTAAACGAAAATTCAAATGAGCATTACGTGAATTGATGTAGGGGCCTTTAAGGGTCGGTCTAATTTCTCATTTGCCAGGCAGTTTGAGGCCAACTCATCCCTTCGTCTTCGTCTTCGTCTTCCTCCTCCTCGTCACTAACTTTTGCTAATTTTCTCTCTCGACTCAGCTTCGTTTCTGTTTCTTTCTTTCTTCCCCCTCTCACTTCTTTCTGCTTTCTTTTGTCCCCACTTGGCTAATTGGGTTTTGGCTTTGGCTTATTGGTAGTAAGTACACAACTCACTCTCCTCTACAAGTAGGCTGGTAACCTAATTTTACCAATTTTTTTTTACTCATTTGACCATTAGGTTAGGAAAACTTTATTTAGAGTGATGTATACACCCGACTTAAATTTTTTTTCCTCCTAAACTATCCATTTTGCTCCCAAAGTAATGTGAAAAAATAAAAATAAATTAAAACAAATATGAACCGATATCAGCCGATCACCCTGACTTCCACACCCTCCTTCCTCCTCCCTTATCTCTTTTTCTCCTTCCTACTACCAATAAAAGGCCGCTGCATCCTGATTTAGATTTGAAGAATCAATAATAATTTCAATTCTTCTTTGTTCAGTAATAACTTAAATGTTCAATAAAATACTTCTTGTAAAAATATCAATAACCCATTGGTTTCACGTATGAAAAAAAAAAAATTATATATAAATTAATGAATTGTGATACAAAGAAAGAATAAAAGTAACAAAAAATAAATAAAGTTCATAAGAAACGTAGGATTGTGAATGGTTTATTGTATATTCATCAAGCTAGAGTTACAGCTTTATACAAAGGCTATACATCAGGATCCCTATTCTCTTGCTTACAAACAACGCTAATTATGAACTAAATAGGAAATCAAATAACTAAGAATCAATTTACAATATTGACTAATTATCCCGAGATATCTTCCTTAACAAAAGCATATCTCTTTTTTTTTTCAGTTCCTATTCTTCTTTCTATTTCTGAGAAAAAGGGCTTTCAAAATAAAGTAAAGGATTAATTCGTTTCGAATAATTATTTATTAAATTGGTGGACAGGAGTATACTTTGGATTGGAATCGTGTCATGAAGAGTATTGCCGGATCATTTCTACTAACTTGAAGCCCCAATTAGTATTCTTTGTTTGTATATTATGTAAAAATGTCGTTTTTCTCCATTACTAATCCTTTACATATGTTGTGTTTTTGACCATCCACTCATTTTTGCTCAATTCCCCATTATGCTAATACATAAAAATGACAGTGAAACTCAATACGGTTGATCTTTTGAACCCGTTTCAAGTCAGGATGACTAATCAACCAATCTTAGGGGAACCAGTGTCTTCTGTTTGTGTTTATTTCCACTTAACTCTCTAACTCTTATACATAGAAAATGAGAATCAATCTTTTTACTGCAAATTTATATATAAGTTGTTTTCTTTCACTCATATAACTATTTGATTTAGTTTATCGACCTGAATAATGAATAAACAAAATTAAGATATCTACTCAATCCATTCCAACCCTTTCCTTGAAATGAAGGAATAAAACTGCCATAAAAAAGAAGCAAATGAAAGGCTTTCGTAAAAACTCTCGTAGAATCGAGAATGAAGTTTTCATTCTGTACATGTCAAATCATGAATTAGTAACGGCATCCAATCTCCAAAAAAACTCCAATTCTTTCGAACTTTCTATTTTTGGAATTAAATTTTTTACGGATTCCCCATGAATAGGAACAAACCTTATTCCATGGTATTTACATGAGATTCCTCTTTCTTATTCTTAAACAAGTTCCCAAGAGGGCTTAGTTGATCCACGGTTTATGTTTCATCTTTCGTTTCCTTTTTTTTTTGTTTCAAGAAATATATCAATCAATGTCGAATTTTTTTCTATTAATTCTTTTCCGATCGAGATGTATGGATACATGCCATATGGCCCTATTCACCTATAGCGTACCATATCTCAATAGATTGGCGTAATTTTTCTACCGCTTGTACATTTCCATAATGATGGTGTTTTTCCAGAATATAACTTTGTTGTTCAACATCTTGGACTAGCCACCCCTTAGAAGGTATTGTTAAAAGATCATCAATTCCTAATGACATGGATGTAGCAGTGGCTTGTCGGAACCCCATAGTTTTTACTTGATCCAAGATGTGTGATGTATATGCCATTCCAAAGTGGTCTATTAATCTACTAATGAGTCGTTTAATAGCACTTTCATCTATCACTTTATTGTGAAAGACCAAATTGGCCCATTATACCATAAGTACCTCCCTATTCCGCTAAGTGGGGTTCGACATTGGATTTGAGTCAATGATTGGAAAACTTCCTTTTTCTCGATCTTGATTCGCATAGAAATTCAGAAACTATGGTCCTAGGTGAACTGCAAAAACTCAAAATGACACGGGTGTCATAGAATTACTTAGTTTAGATATCATATGATTAGGTACCATATGAGTAGGCTCGACAAAACCCTTAGATAGCTTCTTCGATTTCTCGATAAAGAGAAATATGACCAACTGTGGTTCGAACATATATACAATTTTTTTTTTATACTTCTTACTATTAGATAGTGCCCATAAATCTCATGATAGATACCCAAAGATTCATAGTGAACTTCGATGGGAGTTTCTCTTGAAGTAATAACGCGTTTAACTAGTCACCACCAGAGCCACAATAGGCTATTTAAATTGATTCTTTTTTTTGTTGATAAGCTCCAATTGCATAATAAGAATTACAAAAAAAAATAAAAAATAAAAAATAAAAAAGTTTCTTTGGTATACTTATAATTATTATCATCAATTCTTTTATTTTGATAATATTTGCAATTACATAGATTATACCTATTTGCACAAATTCCTCGACTAATTCCCTCGTTAATACATGGAGCCCAATAATCATATCTTGAGTTGGTACGGAAATAGGATCCCCAATAGCTGGAGACAAGAGTTCATATGAGAAAACATAAGTAAATAGGCCTCCGCTTAAGCCTCCAAATGATAAATGTACATGAACAGCCACTTGATCACCATCAAAGTCTGCATTGAATCTCGTACAAACTAATGGATATAAACATATTTAATCCCTTGTTTATACATAGGCTTCTTTTGGTACGAAATGAGCCACTTCAAATAGGTTCATTGCTCTGGCCTATAATTAATTCAGCATGGGCTACATCAGCCCCAGTAGTTTACAAGATAAATTGATAAGTCGAGCTTTCCCGCCCCACCAGGAAAAACTGGTGGTTTCTTGGTCATGACCGGCTAAAGCTAAAGTTCCATTAAAGAGCGTTTCCACCGGGTAAAACCTCCTCAGGGAATATAAGGTTTTCATAAGGTTGATCTTGATCCAAGCATGTATACCTTCATTTAAGAGAATATTGTTGGTTTAGAAAGTCTCAAATTCAGGATCTTCTACTACATGGATTTTCTGAGAAACAAAATCATAGACACGTAGGTTCAAGGCCAGACCCACTACTTCAAGAGCACTCATCCATAAACCGGTTACTAGTACAAATAACATAAGGAAATGTAACCAATGTTTATTGGAAACAGCAACCCCAAAGATGTGGGACGACACTTCTAATGCTTTTTTTTTTATACTTTAAAGTGAACTCAGTAGTAGTTCATTCACATAATGTCGCGATTGAAGAAAAAAAAAAAAAGTATCGCACGATAAGATCAATCGAAACTGGGTTTTACATTTTATCTTTCCATATTACGAAGACCCATCTTTGTAATTAGGTCACGAAGGACGCCTTTGGGGGATTAAACAATAATGCATGCATCACAAATATTTATTGTATTGTTTTTTATTTATTCGTTGTTCCTCTTTCTTTCATTGAATAATATCTACTATTGTTACTTGTTATTGGGTGGCCAACCAATTCCTAACAAAAAAAAGATTCCAACAAAAAAACATCTTATACAACCACAAAACGTATGTTTTTAGATGTAACGTCTAATTGAATCGTAAGAATATGAGAATCTCCTTCATAAATTATTGGAAATCAACCTGTCAAATTCACATTTTACTGGATCTTCAGCTTCTACTGAAGAAAATCCTTATACTACAAGATTTTAAGGAATTTTATGTTAAATGGTACAAAATTCTACATCGACAAGCAACAATAAAAGAAGAAACAAATTATCTAACACTTCATTTCGATATTGATTGTGAAATTGCATTGTTGTGTCAGAATAAGGATAGTTATATTGATTGGTATACAAAGAAAAATAGTATATGTTATAAAACATTAATTAATCGGTTGGATATTCAGGAGTCAAAAACTTGTTGATTTTATAAAGGCATTTTGAATTAGTTGATATATTAGATGTTGAATTTTAATGAATTTTTTTTTCGTTTTCAACAATTCATGAAAAATGAATCAAGAAAAAACCTATGAATATAATCTACAAGAAAATACCTCATGGTAGTCAATGTGGGCCCCCACCACCCATTAATGCATGGTATTCTTCGACTCATCATTACTCTAGAAGCCCTCTTTTTTCCGATCCAGTTCCTCCACCACCGCAAAACCCAGTTAGATTCAGCCATGATACACTTTTTAGTTATTACTCTCTTTCGGATCCAGGAAACAGCTCTCAGAGATCTTTTTTCCTTTTGGAAGATACATGAGCGAAAACAATCAACCTATTGATATTGGAAGACCCAAAAGATTATTCCAATGTATCATTTTTTGCTCCAATGAAAATCATAGGTATAAGAAGAAGCCTTGTCAAAAGTGATAATGCCCATCCGAAAAATGATAAAACATACTAAAATGAAAGGCGAAACCTTGCGCTTGCATTTACCCTTTTTTCAAACAAAAAAAGTACCATTCATTTTTAGAATTCAGTAGACAACAAAATTCTTATCTATATCAGAAACGAAAGAAAATTTTGGCTTCAAATTAAAGTCAAACAAATTCAATTAAATATTTGTTTAAATTAAAACATTATGAGACTAATTCAATTTATCTTTTATATATACTAGCCTCTCTGCACGCACTAACGTGCGTGCGAGAGGCATTTTTGCATCACTGGCGCTACGCGCCCCAAAGATGTGTTGTTTTAGATATTATTACATTTCTTAAGTGACTATTTTATAAATTGTGGGTGTGTGTCCATCACAACAATTTCTTATTATTTTCAATCATCTAACTTAGTATTTTTTGAACCCGCCCATTGTACAGAAAAAATGAAATTTATGAATTGCACACTAACCATTCCATTTTTTTTTGTTTTTTTTTTTCTTGCTGATTATTATGGTATGATCAACATGAAGGTTGGACCCAATAAGTGAAATAAAAGGAAAAACACAAAATGGAGAACAGAATAAATCTCTCCCTTTCTCTCTCATGCAAAATGTCAAATATCTACCCAAGTCCTTAAATTAAAAATTTCAGATTCATAAGTTTTTAGTCAAAGTTATAGGCTAACTAGGGATGAACTCTTAATATATGAAGCAAATCAAAATATGGACAACATGTACATATGTAAACATAGTGTCTACGTGTGAAATCAAAGCCATGCTTGCCACCCATTTGCTTGCACTTAATGCTTTAGATTTTCATGGTTAATCTGCAAGAAATGATGATAAAATAAGAAGTCTAACTATAATGCACAATCCCAAATATAAAGGTTGTAAGCAATTCAACCTAAATACCTTTAACTTTGACAATTTTCTCACGGCAATACTTTTACTCCAGTTACTTACTGAAAGATAAATAATTTGAGACGGGTGTGATGCTTGTAAAACTGACAAAAAAATGCAATTTTATTTATATTTGAAAATTGAATGCAATTTGAATTTACAGTATACTTCCGTATGAAAATAAGAGAATACTTACTGTATTTAGAAAAGTTGTTTGGCAAAAAAATGCAATTTTATTTATATTTAAAAATTGAATGCAATTTGAATTTACAATATACTTCCGTATGAAAATAAGAGAATACTTACTGTATTTAGAAAAGTTGTTTGGTCACTATTAATCTTTTTCCTGCACCCATAAATTGTTTTTTTTATAATTCGAGATAATTAATTTGTAGATTTTTTTTTAATTTTATAATTTGAGATAATTAATTTGTAGAATGATATAGAGAATGTCATTAAAAATAAATAGGTAAGAAATGGTGTTGTACCTAATTTGTTGGACTTTATTCCAAATTCGTATGATGCGACGAGTTGTTGAAGATTTTAATTCTTATACATGCTTTTTCATGCGCCACCTATATATTGAAGGAATATATAATGTTAGAATTTCTTGTAACAAATTTAATAAATAATTTAGAATACATACTGCTCATGCTTCTTCTTTTTCCACTTTTTGAGAATAAGTTGGTTTAGATCAGTAGCTTTTACTCCGACAGATATCTCCCAACCAGGTGTAAAAATAGAGACACGTCTGTTTGGGATCTTATCAATAGGCAGTTCCTTTTCCATTTTTTGTGGGTATTCTTGTAAATATCCTGAGAATGAAAACAAATATTTTTTTTTTAATTTTCATAGCACATGTATAGCACATTAAGATAATCAAAATTGAAACTCGTAATTTGACCAAAATTTAAAAAACGCACAATGAAAATTTCAAAGAAGGAAGTTTAAAAAACTAAAATTGACTTAGAAATACTAAATACAAACTCATATATACATCCTGAAAGATGCAGTAGAGCGCATCAAATTCATCACCTAAAAGATGAATGGAAAAAAAAACTTAAAAACTGAAAAGGTAAATTTAGATTGATATTTACCCAAAGAGAAAGAAAACATTTGTGATTGGAGAGATTGGGATGCAAGCATGTGATATGGTTGTCCCACTGCAATAAAAATTCAATCACAAAATTGTTAAAGGTGTGTCCTTTTTACCCCATAATTCATAGAGTAAAACAACATATAATCCAAAATTCGAAAGCCTGCAGAAGACCTGCAGATGTTGCTATAAAAAAACAAACAAAAAAGACGGACATACATACACACACACACACACACACACACACAGAGAGAGAGAGAGAGAGAGAGAGAGAGAGAGAGAGAGAGAGAGAGAGAGAGAGAGAGAGAGAGAGAGAGAGAGAGAGAGACTGCATAAAAAGAAAACTGAAGGACTTGAATTAAGGACTTGAATTTTTTTTATTAGCAATCATCACAAATCCCGATAGAAAAATGAACTGAAGGACTTCTGCTCTTCCACCGCAACATATAAATTGGGGGGAAAAAAGGAACAAATATAAGTTGGAAAGAGTACAAAGCAAGAAATAATGAAGAGAAAATACCTGGAAGGCAGTGGAAGAGCAAAAGTAGGATTGCAGTGCCTTGCCAAAACTGGAAGAATTTCACAGCAATTCTTTCTACCTGAAAGAATTTCAAACGCCCTCCTGCAGATACATGGGTTGTTACATTTAGGATTAAATCATGAGATTAATGAAGAGGCCGAAGTGGAAATGGAGAAGGAGGAGGAGCTCCAAATTGCAAGCTGGAGACTTCCATACCTCAAACCGAAGGCGGTGTACTGTCTAGTAGTCCAAACCTTGATCCTTGATAAATTGAACTTCCTTCTTTCATCTAACAATCGAAAAATAGATAAATAAGGCAGTTATGCAATTACACACACTATTACAAACAGCCACATTCAGATTTGCATCATATCATTGCATAAGGGGGGTTTCACAAACACCTAATAGGCAAGCTAGTACTTTAACGCTCATTTTAACGAAATGCAGGAAATGAAAATTAGTTTAATTGTTTGGTGTAGTTAGCTGGATGGTAGCATTTCATGTGTTTAATTGCCTAGAAATGCAGGAAAATGAAAAAAATATCTGAAATCTTCAAATTGTGCTAATATACTTCCATGTATGTGTGCGAGTGTTTCTTACCGATTTATGTAGATTCTTAGCATTTTTGCGGGTTGAAACTGAAACCTGTAGAGAAAGAGTAGGGAAAGAAGAACAGAGAAATAGTTAGTGGTAGGCAGGTCAGAAAACAGAAAGAAAAGAGTTGTACGTGGAATGTGTGGGAGGTTACAGAGTCTGTAGAATGAACGATTGTATAGAGAGGTTTGTGTGAAGAGGAAGTTTGATCAGAAAATGGGGGAATATAAGATAGACGTGGGTGGGTGGGTTGGTTTCCGCTGCGAATTAGTGAGTTTGAAAACTGTACAGAAACTGCCATGCAGTTTAAAAACTAACGTGCTAATCCAGCGACGATTCCGAAAAAGCCGAGGCGCGGATGCAGGAGCGAAGCAGCGGCGGTTGAAGATTACGTATCCAACACCATTGCAAACTCTCTAATTATTCTCCAGCCTTTCCCCATGTTTGAATTTCTTCTTTTTTTTGTCAATTTTTTTTTTCTGTTTTATTTACACAAATGACCATGAAACATTTAGTTTCATAATTTACTTCAGTTTTAATTTTTTTTGTTTCAAGGGCTTTTGTGTCCATATTTTTTTTTGTGAAGCCTTAAGACACTAAAACTCACTTCTGGCATTCTATTAGTAGAGATTTTGGTTTTCAAATGAAGGTTGTTATGTTGACTTGAAATGTGCACTAATTCTTTGAATCCGGTGAAAATAGGTTGATTGGTAAGTTGGGCTTGGCCCATATGCGTCGTCGTGAATGACGAGAGGAGTGCGAATGTAAGCCCAAAGCAAAAGCCGAAATGCCTCTTATTCGACAAAGGCGCAAAGCACAGCAAATTTACACAAGTTGAGAAAAGCATTTAGAAAAGCAAGAAGGAAAATGGCGGAGACGTTGCCGACGCTGTCACCGTCGGAGCAAGGGGAGCAGGTGAATATGAATGTTGATAATGACCAGAAAGATAGCCAACAGGGGGCGGGAGCATCAGCATCTTCCAATTCCAATGCCAACATGGCATTGGCAGCAACGATGGCGGAGGATCTGCAGCGTACGGTGATGGAATCCACGGACTCCGCCGTCCGCTCAGCTCGGTATATCCAACATCACTTGCCCCAGTATATCGGCAAAGCCGTCGACAATTACAGGATCTACGAGCATGCTTTCTTCACCAAGATCAAAGGTATGCTCAAAATTCATACATTCACTCTTTCGTTTCTTATTTAATTTATCAGATTATTCTTACCTCAGAGCCTAAATGCTAATGAATTATTCAGGAATCGTGAATTTGGTTGAATTGAATTATAAATAGGTACCCAAAATTGATCATCAATCATTTCATATTTTGATGTATTGATGTGAGTGTGTATATTTTGTATTTTGTAATTGAATCATTGCAGAAGGGTTGACGAGTGCAATAGAAAACCCAGCACCAACGCTTGGAATTGGTCTCACTGCCGCCTTCCTTGTTTTGCCAGGTCCTCCTTTACTTTGCTGAGATAGTGACATGTCATGGTTTTTGTCAGATAAACCCTACAATTTGGGTATTCAACTTGGGATTTCCAATTTTCTATTTGCACTCCGACTAACTAACAAGACAACTGTGCAGGTCCAAGAAGGTTCCTCTTTCGCCAGACATTTCGTCGACTTCAGAGCGAGGAGGTCTGTATATACCATAAACCCTTTCAAACTCAGAATCTCCAAACCTTTACCTCTAGTTTCCGTATCTTCCGATATTAATTACAACTAATATATGTGCAGGCACAATTTCTTAGCGCTGAAAAGAGTGTAAAGGAGTTGAACCTTTCAGTTGATTTGATGAAGAAGGAGAGCAAGAAACTTCTTGAAAGGGCACTTCTTGCTGAAAAGGATATGACATATGGCCATACTGATCTCATGTACCCTCTCTCATTCAACTAGTCTTGGCTTCTCTATAGATGTTTTCGTTGGCTGTCTGTCGGTGTCCTGATTAATCCAAGTAATTTATGCAGGGATGTCGGAAGACAAATCCAACACCTATGTAAATCTGCTCATAAGGTTGAATCTCAAGCTTCAGGTTTGTGGTCATGAATTCTTCCCTATTTCATTTTGTTATAGCTATATGGTTATATGAAAGACTTTAAAATTTAAACTGGTTTTGCGGGTTCTTACGTTTCACTTGAGCCTTGGATGTCATTACACTAGAATCATGCCCTCATTTGTATTACGTTTTTGTGTAGATTTAATGGATGGGCTGCGAGAAATTCCTAATAGGGAGGCTTTGAAGCTTAGAGCAGAGGCAAGTTCAAACAAAATATCTCCTTAAGTAGCTCTTTTCTTTGTGTTTTTTTTCCTTGCGCATTTGTTTGTATGTTTACATAAGATTGCCCTTCTGTCTTTTTGTTTCATGTTTATTAGGTTGCATCAATGACATCGATCTTGAAACGTCAGAGGTCTGTGCTGGACAAACACATAATGAAGATTTCAGAATTAGGACTCCCAGTGTGACCACTACCAGAGACTGAAAGGCTATTTATCCGGGAACTTTGATATCTGATTCTGAGATAGAGGGTGCAATATGCGCCCCCTTTTGTTTCGTCGACTCTATTGGCATACAACCAGCACTACTATTTTGTAATCTCGCAACCGGTAATCCTGTTTTGTAAGAGTGCACCCGTGCAATTCTGTTTTGTAATAAAAAGGTTGTAATTCCAGCAGGGGCCATCAATTTTCCCTTCGCTTGCATCAACATTTGTGAATAGCCGAGTTACCTGTGATATCTCTGATGTTCTATTTCAATTACAAATAACTACGGTGATGAGAGAGAACAAAAAACTACACGAGAGGAAGGAGAAGAATGTGTAATCTAGCTTTCTTTTGTAGTATACAAACTAAAAAAAGCTTTCAAGTGGTTTCAGTATGTTCAATTGGCCATTGCATTATAATGGATTGCTCAAAATCTGGAAAGAGACAATGGTTACTTCCTCATCTGTGTGAACAACTCCGGTGGCTTTCCCGTTCCTCCTACACCACCAAAAGCAGAGAAACTGCCAGATCCTTGTTGGCCACCAAATGCCCCAAATCCACCACCTGAACATATTTCCAAAATACATGTTTGCTAAATATCTTTATTAAAAAAAGAAAAGAATACAACATCCGAAAAAAATGAAAAAAAAATTGAGAAGTAAACAGACCACCTGAAGCTGCACCACCAAAGCCCCCTCCACCGAAAGCTGCACCAGCAAATCCCACGCCGCCTGAAACTGCACCCGAAAATCCACCACCGCCCGAAGCTGCAGCAGCAAAACCACTACCACCTGAAGCCGCAACAGCAGAACCACCGCCACCTGAAGCCAAACTAGCAAATCCACCACCACCAGAAGCAGCACCAGCAAACCCTCCGGTAGCAGCACTTGTGAAGCTACCGGTGGGAGTAATGCCAGCAATGCCACCACCAAAACCACCGGGTGATCCAAAACCAGTACCTGGTAGACTAGTACCAATCTGTCTTGACTGTCCAAAAGCACCAAGAACTGACCCTAATGCTTGCTGCCCTGGTCCAACCTGTGCTGGCTGGCCAAACCCACTCGGAATGGGAGCTTGGGCAGTAGTACTGGTGCCAAAGCCACCAGCAAATGCACCTGAATTTGCTGGCTGAGATGATTGGGAAGGCTGTAGAGATTGGAAGTTAAAGGAGGCAGGCTGAAATAACTCTCCACTAGCAACAGGCCTGGAGAAAGGAGAAGTCGCATTTGTTGTGCATTTTGTGCATTGCCAAATGATCCACCAAATGGATTGGGTTTAGGACCAGAGCCAAGCCCAAACCCACCAAGGCTTCCCAAACTAAGTTCACTTACTCTACTTGCGTCCGGAGTCTCCTCATCCATGTCATCCTCCTCTGCATTTTGTAAATCCAAGCCATCAATCCCACCAGTAACACTCCCTGACGTTGTAGGTAGATTTGGAAATGGAGAATGCCCAGCAGATGGCTGATCTTGTTGATCATTGACTGTTACATTCTGTTTAGGGCCTGCAGTTTCGTTCATCCCGGTCTGGCTCCCAGATGCCTCTACTGCTGCAGGACTAGCCTTGATAAGACTCGGATCGTCTCCAGTTGACAGTCCTGTTGAAGTCTCAATTGAGGGTGGAGATGACACTGAAGGTTTAAGCTCCAAATTACCTTCAACCGTGGAAGGCCCAAATTCCATGCGTGGTGATGTAGTATTAGCATTCATGTCTGGTTTTGAAGGTGGTTGGATCTCTGTCTTTGGAGATTCTGATGTTGAACTCACTAAAGGTGAAGGGGTAGATGAAGACACCAGTGAATTTGAAACGTTAAAAGAGAGAGAACTAGAAGAAGAAACAAATGGGGAGAAAAAAGATGATGAGGATGTTGATACAGGTTTACCAGGTTTGCTTTCATCTGCAGCAGTGACAGAACTAGCCAATGATTTGTTTAAGGGCATCGCTGAGGAAAAGGTTGGTGCAACTGATTGCGGAATTGATGACGAAGATAGAGGAGCCGATGATGAACTAATTATTGGAGATGAGGGTGCAGAAACTGACATTAAGAATGTGGTAGGTGGTGGCATTTTAACAGTCTGGCTTTTATTTGTTGCAGCATCGGTCTGGGCAAACTTTCCAGGCTCGCTAGGAATCACAGGAACAGAAAATGAGGGAGAAAATGGAAAGTCATGTTTTTTCCCAGCTTCAGTAGATGCCATTCTTGTGGTTAAAGGCCCATCCTTCACACTTTCTTTTGGTGGAAGTGCAGTATCTTTAGCATATGCATTTAGCATATCATTCTGTCTCTTCTGCAAAGATGGTGTCTGTGTAGATACCTTAGAAAATGATGGTTTCTGAGTAGTGTCTGATGGTAAGACAGGCTTTTCCTTCATAGGAACTGAATCATACTTCCCAATATATGCCATGCCATCGCCAGATCTTTCAGCTGTCATGCTAGTTTCCCTTGTAAAATTTTGCCTGGCTGCAGGGAATACTTGGGATGTTGCTAACATTTTGTGTTCTTGCGTAAGAGACTTCAGCCCAGTAGGTTGGAATGGTCCCGGAAGATCACTAGCCCAAACAAATGGCGTTGCTGAGCTCTCAAAAGCCTGTTTCGGTTGTGTACCCTGAATACCTGCTGAAAATACATTTACATGCAACAACAATCAGCGGGTGTTTCTCACCATGAACAAAGATAAGAAAAAAAACCAGAAAACTTTCTGGTTTGCGTTTTTTCATGGCTCACATTTGTTTACGGATGGATGCAAGAAGGATGTAGGGCTTGTGTGGTCCCTTGGGCGAGTAACTGCTGATCCCTCCAGCAGGCAAGGACTTAACTGTTGCTTATCAATGGGAAATGATGATCTATTAATGCTTTCCTTGCCACTCTCTTTCAAAAGCAACCTTTTCACAGTTGCTTTTGTAGGCTCATAACTTTCCCAGCTCTTGATCAGGACAACAAAAATAAAACGCACACGTGAGTCTTGCAATTTTTGTATTTCTTGACAAGAAACAAAAATTTATTGTAAAAGAAAGAAATGTTCCAAGAACAATGGACAAAAAGTGCATCAAATGACTTGTAGAGCATCAAACAAAAATAATCAAGTCAAAAGTCTCCCAATCAAGAGGAACTAATATCCATATATATATATAAAGGGAGAAGAGGAGTTTACTGAAACTTTCAAAATACCAACAAATACTAGTAGTTAAAAATTGCGAAGGAGAAAAAATATAATATAATGAAGGTGCCTTGAGTAAAATTAAATAATTCAAGAAGGTGAAGAAAAATGTGGAAGAAATGACTGCAACAGTTCTTATTATAAACAAGAAAAATCTCATCATAATTCATAACACAAGGAAACCCTAAGCCGCCATAAACCACAAATTTGAATTGATGAGTGAAGTAAGAATAAACCTGAGAGATTTATTTTCAAGTACGTGGAAATTAACATTTAACTTAATTCCGAGACTCACCTATTAGATTGGACTGCACACTTACTCATAGAGATCGAACTTTCATCCATTAAATGAACATACAATTTACAAGCTGGCAGATAAGACAGACTATAATACACGACAAGGAGAAGAGAGAGAGAGAGAGCAGAAAAACTCTTGCATAACAATGATACATACATACATACATACATATAAATTTGTTAATATAAAAAACCTTCATGTGCCAAATTACTGAATGAGCCAAGTCCATGGAAGATTGGCATAAATTTGACAAACATTAAACTAAGCACACAAAAATGAGTTGTCCTCCTGCAGTTGAGCGTTGGTCACGATGGATACCAAGTTACAAGCACAAAATATAACACATAGGAGTTCAGAGGCCATACCCTATCCAGTGAGTCTCTCCTCCTCCTTGCAGTTTCTGGTTCATAATTTTTTATGGCATTAACATTTCTCCTGGGCTGATCTTTAGAAGCAGCAGAACCAAAAGAAAATGATAGTTTTTCATTTGGAGTACGTGAAGGGGAACTGAAGGAGGCATCATAGGGAATCCCTATTGTTTCAAACAACTCTTTTTTTACATTCTGCTTCTTTACAGAAGGTGACTCTATCTTCAGTGCTGCCATTTGTTTTGAAAGGCACTCAGAAAGTTGATCAGCGGCGGCTAATTGTGACGTCATTGTGCTATGTAAACTATGCAAGGACTGAATGTGTCTGCACGGAAATACCTCAGCACAGTTAGGAAATCTGAATGTCCAGCTTTCAAAGAACTAAAACAAAATCATTACTCAGGCTTTTAGCATCTCAGCTTCCAAGCATGGAAGCATACAATGTATTGGAATATTGTAAGGAAAGCCCTGAATTGGCATGAAGATATTACATAAGATTAGGGATGGAAACAAGCTAGTAGGTTTAGATGCTTTTGTGAACAAGATATCTATGTTTTTAAAGTCGTAAGAATATAATCCTGAATATACTTCTAAATAGTTGAAAGTAAAGGAGCTGAGCTTTCAAGTTGTTAGTTATAAACCAAGCAGGCCGAGCCTGCACAGTACAGAGCTTTGACACAGCTTGTTTGTACCCAGAGCATTGATGGTACTTATAAAGCTATAAATGAGATAAACACCTGCTTATTCATTTATTCAATTGACATCTTTCCAGCTTTCTTAGAATTTAGGTTTTCCTTTTGACATTTTCACCTTGTATATCATATTGTGCCTTCGATTTTATCTATTCATCTAATTTACATTCAATAAAAAGAATAAGGAAATTGTGGAATGACTTTAATCTCTTATTTTTACATACGCTAAGAAAGTACGTTCAATGTACCTTGGGGGCCCAAATCGACTCTGCAAGGCTCTTCCACCAGCACGAGCTCCAGCATTTTCACCAAATTTATTGAGTTCAAGGCCATTAAAATGCCTTTCTAACTGAATTAATTGGTCAGTCAAATCCTGAAAGAGAAAAAAGTATGTAAGAACTATCTTATATCAAGGTGACAAATCAAACATTGAACTACCTGGTTCATTTTTAAAATATGCCGCCGCTTAAGCTCAAGTTCTGAACTCAATTTCTGGCAATTCCAGAAGTCCCAGTATCGTCTATCAGAAGCTTGCTTCACAATGCCCTCCATGTATATTTTCCTTGCCAATACTGAACCGATTGGACAATCATCAGTTCAATATAAGAATGATATACACTTTCCTCCACGTGTAAATCTGAAAAATTCTCCACCCAAAATGAATAATTTTTACTACAAGTACCTTGTACGGTTGTGTCAAGCA